TAACCATTCTTAATAGAGTGTCTGATAATGCCAGCTTCTTGAATCACCACGTATACGGCCACATCAGATTTCCTATCTTTAACTCTCCTAACTTTACGCTGGGATCCTGAAATAGGATCATGTCATAACCTTCCCTTCGTGTAAGGGCCTCTGCAATGTCGTGAGCAGCCCTCGACCTTCCTACATTTATTTGTAGAAACTTCATAATAAATGGTTCCTATCTCTTTAACCGAAATGGATTTGGGACACGAGAAGCATTAACCAGTTTTATTATACTGCTGCAAAAATGTCGAGACCAAAAAAAGGATCTCTTTTTATGTTTTATTGACTATCAAAAGGCCTTCGACAAAGTAAAACATGATAAGCTGATGGATTGCCTTCACAAAAAGGGACTAGACGAGAACGATTTTAAAATTATCCAAACGCTGTATTTTAACCAAACTGCAGCAGTTAGAACAGAAGCCGGTGACACAGAAATATTCAATATCAAGCGAGGTGTACGACAGGGGTGTGTATTGTCACCACTACTTTTCAATATATATTCGGAAGAAATCTTTGCACGAGCACTAGAGCAATCAAGAGAAGGTGTTAAAATTAACGGCAGAGCTCTAAATAATGTACGATACGCCGACGACACGGTCCTAATTGCAGAGAGCGCACAGGATCTCCAGACATTCTTAGATCGCGTCAGATCGATCGGAGAACAATATGGCCTCAGCATTAACGTCAAGAAAACAAAAACAATGATTGTCTCCAAAACATCCATCCATCCACTCATGGCTTTAAACGTGAATGGTAACATTATCGAAAATGTCGAGAAATTTCGATATCTAGGGTGCTGGATAACGAAAGATATAGATCCAGACATAGAAATAAAATCGCGAATTGAACAAGCAAGAAATGTCTTTTTAAAAATGAAACAAATGTTTACGTCCCAAATACTCAATCTCAAAATCCGATACCGAATGCTGAAATGTTACGTTTACAGCACCTTACTATATGGAATGGAGGCCTGGACCTTCAAAATCAACTCACTCAGGCGTTTGGAAAGTTTTGAAATGTGGTTATTTCGAAAGATGCTGAAAGTCCCCTGGTCAGCGCATATGAGCAACGAGCAGGTCCTACACAAGATGGGTACCGACAGAGAATTCTTAAAAATAATGAAAACACGGAAAACCTCATATTTGCAACACATATACAGAAATGAGAAATACCAGCTACTGCAGCTTCTTATAGAGGGGAAGGTAGAAGGAAAACGTGGTCCTGGTAGACGGCAGGCGTCCTGGTTGAAGAACATTCGTGAGTGGACTGGTTTGGATTCTCAATCTTTAATAAGGAAAGCCAGGGACAGAAATGATTTTGCTGAGGTTATCGCCAACCTTCATTGAAGACGGCACCCAAAGAAGAAGATCTCTTTAACTTACTTACCCGTACGCTATCTGATTCTTGGTCCTAAGTGCTTTCACCCACTCGTTCCTCCTCCTCCCTTCTGATAGGATCTCTCTTGAGCTTCAGTTTTTCCAGGATGTGTTTTATATACTGCAGGCATTGTTTTCTTCGGAAAGAAACAAGAGATTTAAAATCTAGTAAATTTGCTAGCATTATTTCTCATTTTGTGTTATTCCTGCTTCCTATGTCCGAAGATAAGAAAAAATGGTGTTCTACAATGAAGGTTTTGCGTATCAAAATAGAACTTATAATGTTTCCAATGTCCTATTATACATCTATTCATGTAAAGAATGATATAATTGTACAAAAATACCTAAAGGTTGGGCATACTTAAATGGAAGCTGAATGTATGCATTCCACTATCGAATGAAGGCTACAAAATAAGATCAATGTAACCGCCGACTATGTTCCCGTGTTCCTTAACCCTAGAACACTAACCTTAATTTCCACTCCCGTAGACACTAACCATTCGTGATATTTACGATTTTTTTTTCAACTCCAAAAAAGTAAAACAAAAAATTAAGATGATATTTTAATTAATTTTTAAAGGAACAAAGGAACATTTTTATATCTAAATTGTACAAAAAAATTTCAAAATTTATGCATCCACGTCACAGGTAACGCAACAACGAGCACGGTGTTCTGCGCAAAATGCTCGTTTGCAGTGATTGCAATGAAGTGACGTCATTCTTCTTTTTTTGGAGGGACAGATGTAACATGTAGTACGTTTGTTAGAAGGTTGATTGTCCTCAGTAACTTCCAAAGGAATTTTAATTAAATCACTAATCAGAAGCTTCACCGAGCGTTGCAAAGTCGGCGTCGCAAAACGCTTTTCAAGACATAATCTTGTGAGTTCTTGATGGAGATTTAACATAAAAGCCATTCTTGTTATTGGCTCCTGATTATTTCTTGATAAATTATGATTATATATAATCCAAGAGTTTATACACGCTATGTTGATCATACCATAGAATATACACAGCGGCCATCTTCGAGTTTTTCGGGAGCAACTTCGATGGCCACACATTTGGTCAAAAGTGTCCACACCACCCTTTGTTTGGTTATAGTGCAATATTATTTCTGGTTTTTTAGTAGTCGGACAAACACCTTCGTGCATTGTTGACAATGCTAGAACGGTTTTGTTCTTTTTGAATTTATAGGACACTAATGTCTTCTCTCGGTCAAAGCAAAATTTTGAATTTCCGATTTCTCTGTTTTTAAGATTAATCATTTCAGGAGGTATCTCTCGTTTATTTTGCCGCAAAGTACCAATAATTGTAAGGTTGTAAGGAGGCTTCAAAAGAGTATCAGCAAGGTTCACTGAGTGAACCAATTGTCCATTGTGACGTTTCGGTAACGTCCGTAAATAGTTTCAGTCAACTTTTTAACATAGTATTCTCCTAGAGATTCCCCATTTGTGTGCGTATGTTTGCCGAGATAAGGGTCTGCGTTCAACATGTACTTGGTACCTGCGTCGCAAGTCATCACATTTTTAATTCCGTACTTGGCCGGCTTATTCGGGATATACATCCTGAAGGCACCGCCTAAAGTATAATGTCGTTAATAGTTATAAGCACTGTCGATAACCTTTACAATTAAAAATAAATTCATCCCATATTTCTCGAATAGGGGCAAACCTATCTAAAGTTCTTCTTTCAGTTCTTGTGGCTTTATTATCGAACCTAAGATTATGTAGAAGAAAATCAAATCTTTCGCAGCTCATTGTTGCTCTCTAAACGGAGCCAGACATTTTGGAATCAAATATCTCTCTACTGTGAAGATGATTATCTTTTTGTGCTCCAGAAAATATAAGCAGTCCAACAAGAGTATTTGATTCATCCCTTGACGAGAGAATTAGTATGTTTAGCAACTTTAAAATTTTTAGATTTAGGCTGATTTGAGTATTGATGTGCAACAGAATTTTTTCGTACATTGAATCATTCATCAAACACTGAAATACATCTAATGGTGTATTAGCATCTTTTGCCTGTCCAGATGACCCTTGAACAATATGCAAAATATTCCTTTTGGTGGTACGTTTCCGAAGATTAGATACAGTACACCAGCGATGACCATTTTTGCCTTTGAGACTTGTAGTCAAATTGGAAGTATGAGGATCAGATTCTTCCACAATGTCTTCGGTTTCTCGCTCTTCCACTTGTTGAAAACGCACTTCTTGATTACCTTTTCGTTTTGATGAGGCTGAGTTATAATTTGTTGAAATGAATGTTCTTGTTGAATGTCGGTTTCCACAGAAGAAATCTCATATTGAACTCTACATGAACTACTAGGCATAGAAACAGAGGTAGAGCAGTTATTAGACTTTCTTTTTTTCGTTTTAGGACTGCTATGCTCAAAATCGCTGCTTTCGTCACCAGAAAATTCTGCCTCGTACTCAGATTCAGACGGACTGAAATTTTGTACTCTGTCTTCACTTTCTGAATAACTAGAAGTTTCTTTATTTGATTGTAGACTCCCATCATCAAATTCACCCCTGAATATTTTTTCGGCTTCCAATTATAATTCTAATTGGGTTAAGGGCCTTTTATCTTCAAATTTTCTAGCCATTTTTTAATTAAATTGTCTGTAAATGACAAAAGAAAATAATAATACCAAAATAAAAAAACTTACGTTAACACTAACCTTTCGTAAAATTTACGAAGCAACTGATATCTTGCGGGTAACGACTGCACAAAAAAAGACAACTACACCGTGAATGTACTAGGCAGACTGAATAACGAAGCTACTCATATACCTATGCTTCCAAAATTCATGCAAGGTTGCCAATTCTTAAGAAAACAATCAGCGTTCTTATATTTTACGAATGGTTAGTGTTCTAGGGTTAAAGCCAGAAGATCTCTTATAATGTTAAGTATCTTCACCATGATTTTTTCAAATGTTTTGATAAGCACTTATTTTATAAATCGATTCGATCTGGAAAGTGTGTTGTTTCATCGTGTGTTGTGAATGTAAGAAAATTTAGATATTCCCATAGGGTAAAATCCAATTCAAACTAAACTTTGGCTGACTAGGAAGGTCTTCCCCAATATTTAAGGGGGAAACCCGGGGGTAGGAGTGAAGAATATTTTTTGGGATCTCAAAATTGACAGATTCTCAGAAAAATTGAACTTGTTCGTATGATTTTTAGAGGTTCAGTGGTATTTTCTTCTTTGAGTAGATTTTCCTTTTCCTCTCTGTGCTCATATATATTATTATAAAATTCGTAAGAAGTATCAGTGAATTAACTATATGTTGCGAATTTTTTTAGAAGAAGTATCCAGTTAATTTTGAGATTTAATGTTTATTACCTACCCTCATATTTTAATCTCAAAAAAAACTTATAGAATAAAAACGACAATGGATTTAAAAATCTTAACAACTGCTTTGGTTGACAATGTTAAATATAGCTTGTTTACAATATGCTATAAAATGTAAGGGTCAGTGATTATTACTGTTTAAGCCACGTCATATGGTCTTTTAACATTACTTAAGTAAACTGTTTCTTAAAAGAAGTCAACTGCAAATTGTAAAAATCCTTTTTTTTGTTTCAGATGAAAATAGATCACGGTTTAAGTCCTACATTAACAAATTAGCCGTTACGAAAGCAGAAGGCGATGAAAAAGTTATTCTTCTTAATTTGAAATACAGCAGTTACGATACATTACCATCACCGGCAACACACAACTCGGTCTTCTATTCACCCCAGCATGATCCTCGCAATTCTGTTGGACTTCCGTTATCTCCTGCAGGTGTAGGAGTGATAGATTCCTCGGTTTCATCGCCTTCGACACCGTCGCGACAGCCTCCTCCATATCGAGCACCACCGCCACCTCCCAGTTCAGCATCAACGAATTCGTTGGATACTATGTCTTTGGGATCAACGACGTCTTTAAACGATCTTCAAAAAACTCCTCAGGTATAATATTTTTTACACGAAATTATAAACTTGTTCAGAAATCAAAATGTTAACTAAGTAATTACTTAAGAGACTCTCAAGAGGGTACATCTTAAACTTTTGATCGCAAAGTGAAAGACTTCTTATTTATGTATCTGTACTTAAAACCAGATTGTCTCTTGTTGGTCTAGGTCCTAGTCCCTAGTTTGACCACAATATTTGAGTTTACCTACCTCCGGGTACGTAAAAGATCGTATCTCAGGGATAGGTTATTGGTCTTACAGTCTACAAATTTACAAAATCCAGAATGGATCTGCGACTTAAAATAGAAGCTGGTGTATCAGATCAACTTACGAATGACTCTACCTCTACCTTTAAATGACTTAAATCTTAGGTGTTCACTCTTTCTTCCGATACTGTATGGATGAAATCATTTATTCTATGATATGCAATGATAATTATTCTATTAGTATTTTTTAAGTCCATGTTGTATTTGCAGCCTCCTCCAAGGGAAAAAAGAAAGGATTCGGAAAATAGAAATTTCCAGGAAGACGGGACACCACAAAAGACTGATGTGGATGATCCTAACGTTGAGGATAAAACCATTAGCGTCAAAGAACGAACACAAAAATTCAATCGGTTGGCTTCGGTAGATGATGAGCTCAGTCCACGACCACCAAAATCTGCTGAGAAGAAGAGTAGGGTACGTAACATAGTTAATATCGTTCTTTATCTTAATATCGTATTTTGTAGTTAGTTATATGCATTTTTAATTCTAGTACTATCGTTTATATTCAATAAGTTCTTTTATCCGTCTGTATATACAGAGGGTGGATTGATATAAAACTAGCCTTTAATAGAAAAAACAAGTTTTTTGGAATTAAATCGATTTATTTTTCAACATAGTCCCCTTTTAGCTCGATACACTTAGTAAGACGATGTTCCAATTTTTTTTATCCCATCCGAATAGTATTCTTTGCTCGAGCTCTTCAAAATTGGCCGAAGTTTCAGCGACGACTTCATCATTTGTTGCGAAACGGCGTCCTTCGAGCCATTTGTTTAGGTTTGGAAACAGAAAAAAATCGCTGGCGGCAAGATCTGCGGAATACGATGGGTGTTCAACCAATTCGTGTAATTTTGCCATGGCGATGGCCGATCGGTGAGCCGGTGCATTGTCTTGGTGAAAAAGTACTTTTTTGCGTCCAAACCGGCTTTCGACGCAATTTGCATCGAATCGTTTTCCTTTTCCAGTGTCGAGTGGATATGCTCTTTTCATCCAAAAAACGTCGCCATCACTTTGCCTTCTTCGGCGGTCCTTCGCCGCGTTTGTGCCACTGTTTCGACTGTTCTTTGGTTTCCGGTGTGTAATAATGTACCCAGGTTTCATCAACGGTGATAAATCGACGAAAAAAATCCTTCGGATCGCGCCGTATCATCGTCAAAAGCGTCTCCGAAGTGGTCACAAGTTTTTGCATTTGATCGATTGTCAGCAAACGCGGCACCTATCGCGCGGATAACGTTTTCATGTCCAAATGATGGTGAACGATGTTGTGTACGCGTTCGTAGGAAATATTTAGGACTTCTATTAACTCACGGAGGTTAATTGGACGATCTGCCATAATCATGTCATGGACTTTGTTGATCATTTCCGGCGTGGTGACTTCATTTGGCCTCCCGAAACGCTCATCATCAAAAACACTCGTACGACCTCGAACAAATTCAGCTTTCCAAAATTTTACTGTTGCTAACGAAGGTGCAATCTTATCATAAACTTCGTCCAGGTAGGCTGTGATTTGCTTTGATATTGACGGCTGTAAAAACCAAACTAATTGTTTTTAAAACTTAAAATTTTGACAGACGTCATGTCATAAATGGCAAATGTCAACACCGAAACCAATTCGGTATCAAGTAGCACCATCTATCAAAGGCCAGTTTAATAGCAATCTACACTCATACAGTACGTTAAGTTTTGGATTAGATTCTTTAGTGAATAAAACGTTCTTAATAAAATTTGGTTTATCATTAGCCTTCGTTATTAGAGTTTCACAAAACTCCATTCTTCAAAAGTAGTTATCTGATAAAGCTGCTGTGGTTTCTAATATTTAAAATTCTTGTAACCGTGCTTTTTTGATACTTTCGTTACAGTACCATTGCTAACATCTAACTCTCTAGCAACGCTTCTACTTGAACGTGCTGAATCTACCTCAATTGTTGCAGAAAATTGTGTATCCCTCTTTCCTCAAATTTTTCTGATGACACTTCTTGAGCGTGATATTTTCTGCAATTTTTGAGACACTAACAACTAAACATTTTTTAACATTATGAATTGACTGTAGCAGGAATTGGTCACCCTTAAAAAAATAAATCTACACTGTTATCCAAAATTACATTCATCAGTAAAAGTAAATAAATAAAAAAACTACGCTTTTTTGCTTTACGCATTGACCAAAAACCTAAAAAGTGTAATTAGTGATTGCACATTTGAAGTTTGGCGACTTCCCAAAAATTTGCATCGGTCAAACTGGTAGAAACTTTGATAAACGAATAGCAGAACATGAAAGGGCTTTCAAGAATAGAAAAACAGATTCGACATACGCACTTCACCTTCTAGATCATAATCATTCTTTTAATGACAAATTTAAAATTCTTCACATTCAAAATAAAGGCCTTAAGCTATCTTTGTTAGAATCTATGGAAATCAACAAATTAAAAAACACAAATATAATTCTGAATGACCAACTTGAGACAAACAGTTCTCCCCTCCTCAACCTATTTCATTAGAGACTATACATTTGTAAACCCAAGCCAAAAATAGATCACTTGAGAAGGGCAAAAATTTTGTGGAAGTTTGAAAACAAAGTTTTCAGTGTTTTATTGTTAAATAAGTACACTATTGATTTCAGTAGTTCATTCTAGTACAGTAGTACAGTGAACAGTGTACAAGAGAAGTGACCTCGTGGCTCAGAAGACTGAGGGCAGGATACGGAAAGGTCAAAATAGAAAGAGATAAATCATAAAACAGTAGAAGTATCGAACGATCGCACGTAAGGTGGAGTGGAAAATCTTTCATACAGTTCATTCAGTCAATGAACAAGCAGAATTGCTTAATGAGACGAAGAAAAAAAGAAGAAATTTCTAGTTTAATGGTTATAATACTAATTAAATATTAATATCTTTATTTCATACATATGTTTTCTATTTTCTGTTCTCAGAATTAGGAAAACTCTAGCACTGATTGAGAGCAAATTAACCTGTTCCCAAGATTGGCATCTTATCTGTTTTCTTGTGAGAATCTTCGCATAGTACAGATAGAGATAAAATCCTATATGATTAATGACACTAAAACTATTAAACGTTGCTTAAAATCAGCGTAGTCATCCAGCTACGGACGAAATTATTCGAAATGCCTAATTAAATCTGGTACGGTACGATACGCATGGCGAATGTGTTGTTCCGTAGCATGTAATCATCGCTAAGAGTACACCTCTACGTCACGATAATGCATCTTCGAATGACTAATGATCCGGAGTTAAGAATGTGGACTGTCATTCAGTCATTTAGTTTTTTTCTCGTGTTTATTTAACCCCGCTGCGGCCACAAATTAGTTTACGGAAACCCACGTGCCTTATTCGATGCCTCGGCGGCCATATTGTTGTAATGGCGCGTTCGAGGGTGACTTGCGTTTTGATGGAAGAAAGCTTGTGTTTCTATTATTAATATTCATACGAGTTCGTGACAGTGTTCTTGTAAACTGTCACTCAAATTGATGTTCACAACTTGCGATTTTTTCGGTTGCCAGAAAGAAAATTAAAAATTGTGCGTGTACACGTTTTTGTTGATTTTCACTTGCTTCATTGATTTACATACGTCACCTTACGAAATTAGAAGTTATATAATTGAAGACCTTAGAGCAACAACGGTACATGCCACGAAAGTTTTTGTAAACCTCCGTAGGGAGACGGCACTCTAAGAAGAAATGTTGGTTTCATCCATAACCTTCTCTACAAGGTAATATTTTTAAATTATTGTGGTTTTAAAACTTTTGCATGTTAAAGATAAAGTATATATAGCTCTTTCTGATGTCTTATATTTAGCAAAAACACTAAATGGTCTACATCACCCATACGAGATCCGTTATTACGATGGCAAGACTGTTATCTATTCTTGCAATCGAAAAAAAAAATAGCAAAAAATGAGTCTCCAAGTTTTCATACTCATAAATGATTTTTATAGTAAGAGTATAAATACTACCATGACATGATACCAGTTAAGATTTTAGCCGGCAAATTTATATGCCATATATAGCCACCGATAAATACTACCCACAGACCCTCACCCTTATCTTCCCGCCTCTCGCCCCAGCGAAAATTAATTTCCCAAATGTAAACGACAAAAACAATAAACGCCTCAGCTAGGAAACTGACACGCTTTTGAATAACTGCTGTAAAATTTTAATTCATTTCGTGTATGCGCTTGAAAACTTTATGATTTACTATTGTTTAATTCAAGTGGGCGAATATTAGCGGCATATAACAAGCGTGTTGAATATGTGGCGAATTTTTCTCTGAAGCGCCACATTACCGCACGCTTAGTCGTCGAGGGTTGCCTGTAGTGCAGCTTGATATCATCATAGAGAATCAACGTACTGAGTGTTAGAAACAACACAATAAAAACACATAATCTAACATTATACGTAAATACATATAATCACAGTGAATGACTTTATATGTTTCTACTGGGTGTCAAAAAAACATATATTGTTATGCTATGTAAAATTGAAAATAATATTGTCATATGTGACATAACAGCATGTTACCTAATCCAACGGTAACTTAACATTTTATAAGAAATAATGTAAACCAAATGTAACTAATTATTTGTTAACGGGTTTTTACCCATATATTTAGTGGCTACATTCATGTACACTTAGACACTGATGATGAAATATTTATTCCGAAAACGTTTTGTCTAACGTAGCCCGTTTGGCTTTTTAAATATATACCTTTTACAAAGGATTTTTATAACTTTTTTTTTAAATAATATTGGTTTGCTCTTAACATAGTATTAATTATAATTCAACTAATAAACTATAAAAGATATTTCGAAGAAATGAAAGTCCATTATCCTGGATTACCTGTAGTAAACAAAATTTTAAAGATATGCATAAATTATTTTCTTTGTAAAATATATTCGAGTGACGTGAGTGAGCTTAATGAAATCGTGAACAATGCGAGCGGGTTTCCAAATGGACTTGTACAGTGAATAAGACAATAAAATAGAATATTTAGAAAATATATTTCTCCGTTAGTTCTTAAGAATTTGTAGAAACCGATTAGCATGTTAATAGTTTTTAGGAAATTTATAATTGTAGGTAAAATTGTTGTTTGTTATCTAAATGAAGAGATGGGGATAAGTGTGACAAGCTTTGATTGGAGGAGATTGAAAAAGTGGGATAGGTATGTAGGAATGAGAGTTTAGCTAGATTTTTGAGGGAGAAAAGATAATCAGTTGTTTTCCAAGTGTGTAAGACGAACATTCATTATTCTCTGGTGATTCCCGAGAGGTAGTAAGCAGTAGAGGTGAATGTTTGTGAGTTTTCGAGGAGTAAGTGTATCTGACAGAAGCTGATCTAGTAAAATATTGTAGGTTATATTTTTCTACTTATATTCCAAGAGTCACTGTTCAGGCCAGAACGAGAGATTCAGTTTATCGAGAGGAGAAGTAGCTAGCATCATTTGAACGATACGTGCATTTGAA